TCGCCTTGTATAGTAATATGATACGAAGAACCCATACTTTCTTCATCTTCGTCACGTTCCTTAGTATAGACCACAGTATATGGCTTTACCTTCAGTACTTCTTTACATGAAACCACAAGTTTTGTTTGTCGCCTCAATCTAGAAGGAACCAAACTTTGGAACTTCTTAGAGATCTTTTGGATTTTGGGTGAAAAGGGTGTTCTTATGCTTGGAAAATTTCTCTGAAACTTGTTACCCTTCTTTAATGGACCCAATATTTCAAACACAGAAGTCCTCACAGGTGATTTTCCAAGTCGATCAAAGACGGAAGGCCTGTTAGAAGCGGCAGATTCGTGTTTTATAGTGATGTAATTGCTTCTCGCCCTTCTTATAGAGATGCACACTGGTGACGGTTGCTTGTATCCCAAACCTTCACATGGTTGCCTTGTCACAGCTTCTGATGGTAGTTTCCCTAACTTTGACGGCTCATTAGGATTGTATCTAGCTTTTGCAAATAGCATATAAGCATTAGGATCAAAATCTTCATCTGTTCGCTTGGTGGGGAATGCCACATTCTGCAAACGATTTTGGGCCACAAACCCTACAAGTGGCTTTGAGGATAACTTTATTGTCTCAATTCATTTTACCGGAAGAGTTAGCTCCTTTAGCATGCTAGTTCGTAGATTAGATAATTCACCTTCATCTTTCTTCCTTTTAGGGACATATTGGAGCGCATGACTTACTTTCTTGCCATAAGACGCAATATTCCCTCTATAAGATTTATTCGTGTTGGGTTGTACCTCCTCAGTAACAGCTTTGGCTTCACCAGTAGTCACCTCTTCTCTTTTAGTTGTGGGCTCATTATTATTGCTTTTCATGCCATCATCAGCTTTTAGCTCATTTACAATGCGGTTCTTCAAGTAGAACTTTGCATCGGCAAAGTGTGACTCAGCCTCGGTGAATGGCTCATCTTCAGGAACTATCTTCTTCTCAACCTCACCCTCATAGTATTTTAAACATTAATGGTAGGTAGATGGAACTACTTTATTCTCATGTGTCCAAGGTATTCCAAGCAAGACGTTTTATGAAGTCTTTGCATCGATCACATGTAGCCATGCACTTGATTGCATATCTTCAATGGTGATTTCCAGCCTATTCGCGCCTATGGCTCTTTGCCCCCCTTGGTTGAATCCTTGGATCATCACACGACTTTTTGAGAGTTCATTCATGGGAATACCAAGTTCTTTCACAATGCGAATTGGCAAAATGTTCACTAAGGATCCTCCATCAACCAAAATCCGATTTAACCTTTCATCACGCATATAGCCAACCAGGTAAAATGGGCGGTTATGAAGAGTGTCACCTAGCAGAAGATCATCATTTGTAAACGTGACCTTTTCCTCACAAGCATTAACTTCTTGAGGAGTGGTCTCGATGAGCTTTTCCAAAGATGGTGCCAATAGTAGGTCATCACTTATTTCTTCCCCTTTGTCAGCATAGCAACAAGAGGCATCAATGACCTCATGGGAAATCTTCGTACGGAACCAACTTGGTAAGAACTCATCCAAGGTCATTGGATGTTGTGGCTTTTGAGGATGGTGCACCTCCACTTTTGCTTTCTTCAAATATTTAACTAGATTCCATCTTCTTGGTCTTTTCACCATCATTTTCCTTGTTGGTTGTTCTATTGATTCTTTTTGTGGGCTCCTTTTATGGTACCTACGACGAGTCACCAATGTCCAACCTTCATCATCATCAGGTTGATTGACTTCAGCTTTGTCGTTCTTCATTAATTCTTCATCTTTACTTTCTTTAAAACCACATAATTCATCTGGACTGAATGAGCCAAAGGTGATAGAGACTTGGTTTGCGCTTGCTTTCTCATCTTCAAGAACGAACTTCTTTTCACGAGCCAAGTCCATAACTTTGTCCTTGAAGACAAAGCACTTCTCTAGAGGGTGGCTCACAAGTCGATGGTATTTCCAGTAATTTGGGTCATTTGTTTTCCCAGCTTCATTTGGTCTGCTTCATCTCCGGAAGCTCAATGAGATTTAACTCGAGGAGTTCTTCAAAAATAGCTGGCACATCAGAATCCAGAAATGGGTACTCTTTCTCCTGCATTTCTTTTAGAGTCAACTTTCCACTTGGCTTATCTTGAAAAGAAGTGGATTTCATACTCTGCTTCTTGCTCACCTTCATTGTGAACTTCATAGGTGATGTGTTGACATTCATAGCTTCTTTGTTTTCACATTTGGGTACGAACTTGCCCCATTTCCTGACTTCTTGCTTGTCGTTCCCTTTGCGAGGCTCATAGATAGGCAACCTTTCATTTCCAGCAGAGGCCATGCTCAACTCCATGTCATGGGCACGAGTCGCAAGTTCTTCAAATGTGCCAGGATTGATACTTTGCAAGATGTAGCATAGTCTCCAATGCATGCTTTGGATGCACATCTCTATGTTCGAAGCTTCACTAAGACTGTCTTTGTAGTTGAGGCTTGCATTCCTCCAATGATTGATAAAGTCGATAACTAGTTCTCCCTTTCGTTGGCGAGTATTTGTAAGTTCTATCATACTCATAGTACGTCTCGTGCTATAAAAGCGATTGAGGAATTCTTTCTCTAGTTGATCCCAACTATCAACAGATCTAGCCTCGAGGTCCGTGTACCAATCAGAAGCATTTCTTTTTAATGAGCAGACAAATTGCTTGACGAGGTAATATCCATAAGTCCTAGCATTGTTGCATGTCTCAACGAAGTGCGCCACATGATGCTTTGGATTGCCTTTGCCATCAAACTGTTGAAATTTTGGAGGTTGATAGCCAACTGGCATATTCAACATATCGATTCTTGAAGTGTATGGCTTTGCGTAGGTAAAGGAGGACTTGGAAGCGACTTTATATTTGTTTTTTATAGTCCCTTGAATGAACTCCTTTAGTTGAATCATCCCTTCCGAAGATACTGGAATTTCCTTAGTGGATGCAACTTGTCGTGGGGGAGGATCAATCTCTTTAACTTCTGGGAGTTTGCCAGGTGCATGGGTGGATTCTTCTTCCATCAAGATTCTCACCCTGTCTGTAAGCTTGTCAATTCTAGCATCTTGATTTTGCATGCATTTGGTCAAGCCAACGATTACTTCTGTCAAGTTTGCCAATTGCTCCTCCACAGATGAAGTGTTTGTCACCATGGCTTGCATGATTGTTGTGGACGATGGAGAGTAGCATGGATTGTTACACAGATTGATCCTTGATTGGCTCATGCTATGTGGTGTAAGTGGGGAGGATCCATCACTTGAAGCATCATCATCTTCCTTCACAACAGAGTACTTGGATCCGGAGAGGTCAAGCAAAGCAAAAGTTTTCTTGATCTTTCCAGCAACATTGCTTCCGCCTTCGGGTGCGCTTGTGGAAGATCTTTCTCCTTTTAAAGATGAAGATCCGAAAATAGGGGTAGATGTGAACGTCACTTGGGATGCTTGTTGTCCTAACGAGCTTGCTTTGCTCCTCGTAACTGGTCCAAAGCTTCCAAAGGTAACTTCAAGTATGTTTTCCATATCAACATAGAACATGGAATTAGCAGCCTTCGTGGAAGTTGAACTGGAGTTGATTTTCTTTTAAACCATTTCGATGTTCTTGAACTTTGGTGATTGAAAAGTTGAGATGAGAGGTAGAGATTGTCCCACTGGGCGTATCAGAATTTGTAGACAATAAATTTGCGTCGAGACAATAAAATCAAGATCGGAAAATATTGCAATGATCGTAGTATTTTATTTCAAGAAATATGAGTGTACAATCTCTATGATTCCTCTGATTCTACTTTTCCAATATAAATTCAAGGGCCTTTGAGCTTGATCTTGAATTTTAATTTGATTTATCCGTTGCGAACACTTTGATTGTTGCCACGAATTGTATCACGAAGAAGTAGCCTTGATCTTGAACGCCTTGTATTTAATTTGACTTCGTTCTTGATCTTGAATACTTGAATTGTTTTTCGTTCTTGATCTTGAACTTGATTTGTTCTTCGTTCTTGAGTTTGAACTTGATTGCTTGAAGCTTAAAACTTGTAGAGAAATTTGCGGCGCTTGATCCACGAGCTCTCTCTTGCTTCTTATTATAACTTCTGGTGTCTTTTCTAGGTTATGAAGACCCCTATTTATAGTTGTGAAAAGGAGGAGTTATGATAAGAACAAACTCTTTCCGACCAATCAAATTGAAGTGTGACATGACCGCATTTGATTGGTCAGAATATGTCACTTGCACACGTGGCGCGATTTCATTGGCCTTTTAGTGTGACTTGGCATGCCTTGTCATTTTGACACGTGGCATGATCCTATTGGCTCTTCCGCTTGACTTGGCGTGCCACCAAACTGGGCCTCTAGGAAGATGACATCTTGGGCTTAATGAAGTGGGCTAATTACTTTGGCCAATTAAATGGGCTAGCCTAATGGATTAAGACTTATTTATTAATCCATTTATATTAGAATTATACAATTAATTCAATTATATTGGCCCATATATTTATTTGGACTAATAAAATTTAAATTATTTTATGAATTTAATTTTAATAAAATTCGTATGCCTACACGTATATATTAAACTCTATTTATGTAATACTATAATTTTTATGCAATAAGGCTTAAAAAGATAATTAACTGATAACATAAAATAAATGACAAGCAATATGTTATAATAAGTTAAATTAAGTAATATATTATAATAAGTTAAAAATATATAAGAAAATTTACAGTAGAGTGTATCCTCCAACATTTTTGTCCTTCTTGATGTTGTTCAACGACAATAACAAAGTTCTCAGCTTCGCTATCTCCGCCTTCCTATTTCTCCCTATATAAAAACTACGCCCACACTCACACTCATACTCTCTAGTCTCTCCATTTCCCTTTCATTTCCTGCCGTTAACTACCTCCGCCGTCCGCCGGCGACTATAAATTCCATAAATTCGCCGTACCTTCAACCTGATCACCGAAAATTTCCTAAAAAATCTCAAAATTTCTGCTGAGGAAAAACGATGTCGCAAGCTCTTAACTTCTTCGTTTCCTCGTCTTCACGTTCTCCGGCGACTTTCACAATCTCAAGGCCGTCGGTTTTCCCGTCAACCGGTAGTTTACGGTTACTGGTGAAGAAATCGTTGCGGACGTTAGTTGTGGAAGCGTCGTCGGCGGCGGCGTCAGATCTCGACGAGCCGCAGTAGTCCCCGGTGTTAGTATCGGAGAATGGTTCAGGAGGGGTATTATCGAGTGCGACGCAGGAGTACGGTCGTAATGCTGCACCGGGGACCGATTCGAGTTCGATTGAAGTGGATACAGTAACGGAGGCGGAGTTAAAGGAGAACGGGTTTAGGAGTACACGTAGAACAAAGTTGATTTGCACGATTGGACCTGCCACGTGTGGGTTTGAGCAGCTGGAAGCATTAGCTGAGGGAGGAATGAATGTAGCTAGGATAAATATGTGCCATGGAACACGCGAGTGGCATCGTATGGTGATTGAGAGACTGAGGAGGTTGAATGAGGAGAAAGGGTTTGCTGTAGCTATCATGATGGATACTGAAGGTAGTGAAATTCATATGGGAGATCTTGGTGGCGCTTCTTCTGCTAAAGCTGAGGTAACTACTCCCTCTATCCCAATTTATGTGATGTACTTTCCTTTTTAGTTTGTTCCAAATTAGTACCTTTCTTTGTTTTGGACATCAAGTTTCAGGAGTCTTTCTTTCTTAAACTTAGTGCATAGTCAAACAACATTACATAGATTGAGACTGAGGGAGTATTCAGATTTAATTTGGTATAACTATCCCTTTCATTGCATGAAATTATAAGCTTATCTCTTTTTATACTGTAATCTGAATCATGATAAGTCTTGAGGTATAATCGTGAAATGTTTTTATTTAACAGCAGTGGCTGGTTGTTGGAATTAACAAAATTTGTTTTTTATAAGTACTTTCCTTTTATTGTTGTTGACTAGAATTGGGAGGGAACTAAGCATGCTATTTAAGTGGCGAAGGGTGGGGGGGCTCATTATCCTCGTGTTTTGAAGACTGGGGTTGGCTCCAAGGGTTGGCCTGGACGGATCTCTCGGTCAAAAAAAAAAGAAGAGTTGGGATGCTTCGCTTCCTTAAAAAAAAAGAGGAACTAGGATGCTTTGCTTAGCTTGAATCATGTTGGTGAATAAGTTTAGTATTTAAGTGGAGTGGAGAAGGGTAGAGTGGCTGCCCATATCTGTCGAGTTTGGTAGTGAGAAACAATAGAATTGTCAATTTGCAACCTTTCCAAATCAGTGCATTTTGCTATAATAAACTAAGGTTCTATTTGGGAGTGTGCGGTAGCTTCTAAGTGATTTTTCCAGTACTCTTTTGAAAGTAGAAGTACTTTTCGTGTAGCTTTAGATAAGTGCCTTCTAGTGCTTCTATAAAAGAAGTACTTTTTGGCACTTTGTTAAGCGTTTGATACATGAATCATACCAAACACCAATCAGTCTGATTGACAGTATTACTCTCGGTCACAATATTTAGGTTGAGAATGTTAAATTGTCTATTGAGTACATAAAAAAAGGCAGCCTTGTGCACAAAGCATCCTACGTTCACGCAGGGTCTTGGTAAGGACCGCATCCCAAGGGTTGTAGTCATATAGGCAGCCTACCTTGACATAAGCATCCATGGCTAATTCCACGGCTTGAACCCGTGACCTATAGGTCATACGGACACAACTTTACCGTTGCTCCAAGGTCTCCCTTCTGTCTTTTGAATACATATATTCCCAAATTAATTGGGATCGGCTGTGGTTCATCCACCAAAGCTGAGGTATATATGCAGCTTGAATTTGGTACGACCATTCGTTTTAAGAAACTGCGTGAAATAAAAAGTTTTACAATGGCAGTAAGCAGGAATTTGTTACCAGATTCTGGTTTATGGATAAGTAATTTCTTGACGTATATTCATTAGTGATTGGATTTTGCTGAAGTACCTATTTGTGGGAATTAGCGATATTTGGTTTTGGTTTTGTTGTGGTATGAGAAGAATCGGGGTTTTTTGGAAGGTGCAGCCTTTCTATTTGTGTGCATTTACTGTAATTGACTAAGGTCTCTAATGGGTGTTCAGTAGCTTCCTAGAAGTCCTTATCTTGTACTAATAAAAAGAATTACCTTTCTAGTCGTTTCAAAGAGGTATTTTTACTTTTCTTGTGTTTCTCTACAAGAAGTACTTATAAATGTTCTGTACAAGAATTTTAGAACACACTTTTATTGTCTAATTGATAAAATTAAGTATTGAAGATTGGGTGTCTTTCATAGAAAACCATGTCTTTTTGTAAGGTTTTCTACTTTTTGGTATACTCCTTGTATATGTGCATGCTTTTGCCCGTTTTAATGAAATTTATTACCTTATCAAAAAAATAAAATTAAATTAACTTCAACTACAAAAGTTTGTGCTTTAAGTCAAAAGTGGGTAAACTTCCATTTAAAATGGTGCCTACATTTGAAGCTGGAAAGCAGTTTTAGAACCTCTGAATTGAGCCCTCTGTAAGTGTTTTTTTTGCCTGAATCTGCAGAGGAAAACTGATTTTACAAATTTGACAAATACTTGATGGGGCCTAGATGCTGCCTGATTGATACAATAAAAATAACCTATTACTCTCTTTGTGGTGTCAGCAAACATGACTTGCCATTTGGAAAGCTGTGTTAAATCATTGAAAAATTCTGATGTGGGTGCAAAACAAAGCTAGAATCAGGATACATATATATAATTATTTTTTTTTGGTTGGTTTGGGGAGGGGTGGGGGGAGAGATAGAATCAGGCTGAGTACTTGTCAGATCGGTTTGTTTGGCACAAGTGGTTGTATCTTTGCTATAATTTTGAACTGAATTTTTCTTTCCAAGATATTTTTGGAGAGAATAACCAGAAAGATAGTTGCAAAACTAGTTTGTTTTACTGCTTTACTGGTCTTGGCATTTGTATCTGCTTGAAATTTTATGCATTTTAGAACTAGAAAGAACATTGAACACCAGCATAATCTATGAAATTCTGTTGGGGGCTATGGAGAACAGGGAATAGTATCAGTTTCCCTTATTGTGGATAAATGTGTAACAGCTAATTATTCTCTTTATACAGGATGGTGAAATTTGGAATCTCACTGTTCGTTCATTTGATCCACCACTCCCAGAACGCACCGTTACTGTTAACTATGATGGCTTTGCTGAAGGTTTGCTCTATAGACTGTTAATTATGATGGCTAATTAAAATGATCATTTTTGCCAAGACTTTCTATATGTTTTCACTGTCACTCCTTATACTTGGATCAATTTTTAATTTTCGCTTAATTTTTGGCTTAACGACTTCATTGCAGATGTGAAAGTGGGTGATGAGCTACTAGTAGATGGTGGAATGGTGAGATTTGAAGTGATTGAGAAAATTGGCCCAGATGTTAAGTGTCTTTGCACAGATCCTGGACTTCTTCTACCTCGGGCTAATCTGACATTTTGGCGGGATGGTAAACTAGTAAGGGAACGCAATGCCATGCTTCCAACAATTTCCTCAAAGGTTTGCACCTGTATTCCTTTCCAGATCCTTTGAATATAATTATGAGTTTTGAGATCTACATCTCTGGTTTAGCTGTTTTTGACATGAACTTTTTTTCTTATTTTGCACCTTTTATCTAGTTCAGTTGTGTTTCACCTTAATGTTGTCAAAATTAATTTAATCAATAGCTCGGACCATTAATACTCTCACTATTCCAATGCACGTGACACTTTTTCCTATTTTGGAAAATTGTTTGACACCACTCTACTAATATTATCATTGGATACACCTTTCACAAATTTCAAGTATTCAAATTCATCTTACAAGCACAAATTAAAAATTCTGATGTGCCGGTTTTCCTATCAAACCAACATTTAGACTACTACTTCAGTATTTTCTTCCACTACTACTAATAGTACAATACTGTTAAATTAACTTATTTTGTGCCTAAACACTTGTCTTCACATAACTTGAGAAGGAGGGATTATTAGAATTTAGGGTATCCACTTTCTCCCAATTGCCAAATTGCATTCTTCTTATACCTAGGGGCTAGCACCAAGGATCTTCTTCCAGATAATTGTTTAACTTTTTCCAGTAAATGTTTGCTTACACTTTGAGTAGGCATTGTACTTCAAAAGTTTTATGGGACCCACTAATTATAACCCTCTTATTTGCAAAAATAATAATTCTGTGTCTGTACCTCTTGATTTTTTGGAAGAATATTTTATTTTACTCAGAGGGGAGGGGGAGGGGAAACGGGGAGGGGATTACAAGGTGGGGAATTGAACCCCTATCAATAAGGTGGAAGTTCAGCTAGATAGCCAACCAGCCGGGCTACATAATTTCCGCTCTACCTTTTGACTTGTTGCCCTTAAACGCGTGTATCATGTTTTTTCTTAAATCTTTAATAACACACCCCAATCAGAACAGACACAACAAAGATGGGAAAAAAGTGTAATTTTTATCAGCTAAAATTTCCAGATATTCTAGCTTTAAACGGAACTAGGAACTCTTAATAGCTGAATCTGACGACTTCACTCTTGATACTGCAATATTACCCGTGTGTCAAAATTTTTGTACTGTGACTTCTAGTATAATAGCTTGTAGAATACACTGTGATCTACTTCTACCAAATTTAACACAGGATCCATGTATACAGCTGTTTAGTATATTTAGATGGTCTCTATCTCAAGAATTTTGTTGCTGCAGGATTGGCTAGACATAGACTTTGGTATTGCTGAGGGTGTTGATTTTATTGCTGTATCATTTGTCAAGTCTGCTGAAGTCATTAAGCATCTTAAGAGCTACATTCAAGCCCGGGCTCGGGATAGGTAAGAATGTAGTTTCAGCATGGAAAGGTGCATTTAGCAAGATGCACCTTTTTACTTCCAAATATCACTAAGATGTTAGATTCTCAGTGATCAAATTATTCATATATCCACCTTGACGGTGCTGTGCAGTGATATTTCTGTAATTGCAAAAATAGAGAGCATTGACTCATTGAAGAACTTAGAAGAGATAATCCAGGCATCAGATGGTGCTATGGTCGCGAGAGGAGATCTTGGTGCTCAAATTCCATTAGAACAGGTTCCATCAGAGCAGCAAAAGATTGTTCAGATATGCAGGCAGCTGAATAGGCCTGTTATAGTAGCCTCCCAGCTGCTGGAATCTATGATTGAATACCCTATTCCAACTAGAGCTGAAGTTGCTGATGTTTCTGAAGCAGTTAGGCAAAGGGGGGATGCTTTGATGCTTTCTGGTGAGTCGGCCATGGGACAGTTTCCTGAGAAGGCATTGACTGTACTAAGAAGTGTTAGCTTGAGAATTGAAAGAATGTGGAGGGAACAGAAACGCCATGAAGTTATTGAATTGCCATCCATAGCATCTTCATTTTCAGATAGTATTTCAGAAGAGATCTGCAACTCTGCCGCCAAGATGGGTAAGATTCTATTTTTGTGAATACTAGTTGTATTGCTTTTTTTTTTTAAAAATTCGTTTTGTTGCCCGCAGATGTAAAAATACCTTGTTAATATTTTTATGCAGATTAGACTAATTAACTGGTAAAATAGTAATAATCATGAATATTCACAATAGATCATGTATAGCATTTTCCCAATATTTATAAAGTAAGTAACTTCAAGAAACTGGGCATGTTTATAGTTTATAAACAAGCAAGAAATAAATCTGAAAAATAGGAGAATTAACAGAAAGCTGCATGATACGAGGAATTTTTCTGGGTTAACCAATCTGCTCAATTTTTAACATAGTTAGAAACAATTAAAGGCGGAAATAATAAAACCCTCATAATTATGTCAGAACAACTTGAGTATCATGAATCTCAAATATTCTGGTTCTGATGCACAGCTATTAGATTTTCACGGTTATTGCATGCCTTAATGCTAGAACCAGATAAAAAACACAGTAAATTTCTATTTATGGTTCAAAGTGTAGGGAATGCTGAGAAGTGTCTACAAATAATAAATACTCATCCTTGCAGCATGCCAACTATTGTCTGAAAATTATCATTTGGACACATTTAAGAATTAGTATAGTTATTCAGGATGAGTTTTTGGAGAGTTCAGTTATTCTAGGAAAATGGCTGGTATTTAAGTGGAGAAGGGTAGACGAGCAGGCCCATTTCCACTGAGGTTCAGACTGCGGGCCAGATGGCCTTCGCGGATTTTCTCGGTTATCAAAAAAATGTGGACGGTTAGAGCACTTGGGTGGGTGGGGGTGAGGGTGGGGTGGAGATTCCTTGGACCTCTACATGAAGGCTTGTAATGCTTTATGATAGTCATTTTGACCCGTGCTCTTTGGTCTCTTTAAAATTTCAAATACAGTAAGGTTATTAATTCTTCAAAAAGGATGTGTATGAAAAGATTTGTCATGCCCTTTATAATAATGTCAGTAATAGGTTTTACAGTATACTAGCTCTCTTATACTTGTCAACAGCAATACGACCCAGTGAAATCCCACTAGTGGGGTCTGGGGAGGATAATGTGTACGCAGACATTACCCCTTAGGGGGATGTACTAAAAGTGCACGTCATCCTTACATGTGTCTAACATTATGTCACTATCAATAGAGAAGGGGTAGCGAACACATTTGATTATCATCTGCAAAAGAATGTTATTGACCACAAAGCTTTTAGTTCCCTGATAGTTTAAAACCTTTGCACTGTAATCCTGTACGTAATGCTGCAAAGATAAATAAGTAGATATTATGTGCCTTTTCTTTGTACAAATGATATGAAGTACTTATTCTATGCTATTTATTGGATAGAATAAGGCTGATTATATATTTGTATATGGGTTGGCAGTCAGCTGACAAAAACTTAACATAGATGTCTATTGCCTTCTCAACCACAGTTTTCAAACATGTCATCTCTCAGTTCAGACTTTTTTTTCAAGCAACTGGAAAATGTTACTACCTTTTTCAAATACTAATGAAATGGGTGGTGGGAGTAAACCAAAAAGCACATTTCCACCCTAATAGTCATCATATATTGAAGGAGAGTCTTCAATATTACACTTCATAAAAAAGATGGTCCTGAATATTCCTCTAATTTATAAATACAAAAAAGGATTCTGAATATAACCCTACCTTTGTATAAAGGACCATAATCTTCTCTACTTCTCTATATAATTGCCTTCGATGAAGCTGCCTTCTGGACAATCCGTACGAACTGCCTTGTCCTGCTGTAGTTTTTTTGGTTGAGAAAATACAGAATTTGGGGTGATCACTCAGGTACTCTTTTGGTCATTCTATCTTTTCCTATCTTAAATAATGAAAGAGGTAACTCTGTCCAAAGCCTTGGTGGGTAAAGTTACTTGGTACCTGTGATTAGTCCAGGTGCGCGCCAGCTACCTTGGACACCACCGCCATTAAAAGAACAGGGTTACTGAATGGGATTAGCTTTTCAATGTTCATCTTCAAGAAAGTACATTCTAGAAATAGAAGAGGAAAATGAAAGATTAACTAAGTGAAGCCTCTCTTTCCAAGCTGGAAGAGACAAATGTCATTTGAAAGTGAAAGTGATTCTCGTAAGAATTTTATTTCTTTATGTGAGTGGGAGCAAGTTTAATATCTTCCAGAAGTATTACATTACAGTTTTGTGGGACAATAGCAAGTACTTTGTTCTGAGCATATTGATGAAAGTTTGAACTCAGGAGAAGAAAACATATCCTAATTTCGAATAATGATCTTTTATATTCTGATGTCTTACTGTTTAATCCAATGCTTATTTCTGTTGTGCTGTGCAGCAAACAATTTGGAAGTTGATGCTCTTTTTGTTTACACCAAGAATGGGCACATGGCATCTCTCTTGTCACGCTGCCGTCCTGACTGCCCAATATTTGCATTTACAACGACAACATCTGTACGCAGACGCCTGAACCTGCAATGGGGTCTAATGCCTTTCCGCTTGAGTTTCTCCGATGATATGGAAAGCAACCTCAACAAGACATTCTCTTTACTAAAAGCTCGGGGCATGATCAAGTCAGGTGACCTCATCATTGCTGTTTCCGACATGCTGCAGTCCATTCAAGTTATGAATGTTCCATGAGTGCACATATTAGTTCTGTGTTTTGAGTTTTGAGCTAGGCAACCCCAATTATATGCCAATTAAACCAATTATGAAGTTCAACAGTTGGTTCTGCTAGGGAGTAAAACAACGACGAGCAATCCTTCCTCAGTGTGTCCTCGTTTCAGGTGCTGGACTTCAATGACATTTGGTGTAACTCAACTGTCGCTTGTAGTCAACACAGATATGTTGCAATGTATACCCCCTGTTTTCCTAGGATTTGGATGTATCTTCTGCTTGAGTTATTGATCTAGAAATGAGCCTTAGAAATGATCGTGATAATTATGGATTTGTTCTTAGAATTGCTATTAGCGTGCTGTCTTTGGTGTTTTTTTAATGATCTATCGGTTTGAATTACCTTTTGGAGATTTGTTTAATATCATTTGGCCTAAATAGATTGTTCATCTGATTGACATTGACGATATAACCTGTCTTTAGTTTGTCAAAAGAAAGAGCAGTACAATGGGAAAATTATCAGCCTCATATTTTCTGATTTTGATTTCTGTGTTATTCGACTGAGATATATTTTTGTTTCAATGACTATACCAAAAATATAGTCAGATGTCTCTATAACATCATAGCTATATAACAATCATTTACTATAAAGGGTAAGTATTTTTGGAATCAATTTTATGTTATGTTATAATGTATGTTCTTTATGATAGTACTGAACGAATGAGGCTATTATAGAAAGGTTTGACTGTATCTGTGTACTTTTTATGAATTATTAGTCGATTTATTATAAGGTGTAGTTTGTATCTGTGTACTTTTTATGAATTATTAGTCGATTTATTTTATTATAAGGTGTAGTTTATCATCTGATTGCTTAGAGATAATGCTGTATTTTGTCCCGGGCCCGGGCCTTAGTGGGCCTAACGGGCCGGGCCTCGCGGT